TGGAGTATCTCCTTTGTCTTTCCTGCACTGAATCAGATTCGATAAACAGACCTGTCTGATGAGGGCAGAGGTCACATCTGCTGTAGACGGTTATTCACATGTCATGTTTTTTACCTCCTGAGCTTTGACTACTGAGCCGTCTGACTGAAACATGTCTGCACTTCAGACCTGGGTCAGTTATTAATTTAAAACCTTCCAGTTACTTTGACGTTCGGTCTGAGTCTGCTGGGAGTGAACATGGATGGAGTTTGCTGAATATTGCTTTTGCTGTGCTGGGCCAGACCAGTTAATCTCTGAAACAGCCACATTTCTGATATCTCTTCAACGCGGTTCTGCCGCTTGACGGTGAAGGGATTATCGATTACGGCTTCTCGTTCTCTTTGATCAGTTTGTTTTCTCATTTGATATCCTTTAGTAATGAAAACATGCACAGAAGTCATTAGGACTGTGGGAATCCCTCGGCATTCGCAGCGTAGATATCACAGGAGCAGACGAAAGGTTGCTTCAAGTACATTGGTGATCAGCCGTACATCTGGAAACAGGCAGTCTGGTTTGACTTTCAACTTGTAAGTCTTCAAATCTGTTTCTCACACACAGGGATTAATTAGATATAGCATTTTTTTTAAATAATGAATCACAAAATAATCATTAAGTCTATTATTTAAAAAGATTATGCAGAAGGACTAATCTTGTTAATATCACTTATTAGCCAGGATTGGGTAAAATTGTCTATCATAGTACGTGTTATTTTATACTGTTATATCAATGCATTGTCATGTAGTAATATTTTCAAGAAAATTAAACATTTACATTTGTTTTTGGTTAATACAGAGAATTAAATGATGCAAAACTAATGAAAATTAAAGTCCAATGTTGCCAGGAAGCTGTCCTGCATAGTGAAGTCTAATACACCCAGGTGTTAAAGAGAGCTCAGTATGAACAATATAGTAGACAAATTCACATCCCACAGCACACAGAATATATTGCTCTGCACTATTTGAGGAAATTAGAATTTAAGTTATTCTATTCCATAGATTTAGCTTTTATTATTTTTAACCTTATTCTGTTCTATTATGTGGATGATTAATTTTTATCTTTGATACTGTAAGCATCTTGAAGTGCTTTTCTGTATGTTGCTCCTTCTGCCTGTACCTTCTGCAGTTACTGTAGATATAAAATTGCTAGATTTGGCCTCTTTGTGTTTATAAATCATTGCTGCAGAAACGAGTAAGAGTGCCCCCTCTGGCCTGATGTTTTGTGATATTTTAGAATTTACATGGTTGTATTAGAAAAGTTATTCATGCGTTTATGTTTAATTCAGATTTTTTGCCATACATATGTCTCATGTTGTATGTCTCCAACTCACTGATACTGCTGTCTATCTTAACCATGGCATTTCAAATTTGACTTTTAATCTTAATGGGCCCTTCCTTAAAATTAAAATGTTAAATATAAATAAATATTTTTTAACACTTATTTTACCCTGGCATGTTTAATTAATGGTTAACAAGCAACTTTATAGGCTGAGAAAATCCTGCCGCTCCAGGGTTTGTGAAGTCTTTTTAAAAGTAATTAGACAAACTATTGTGGAGCTTACAGTAAGACTGTTTTTCTTCATTAATGAAAAAACTCACACATGCAGTGGCAAACTAATAGCCCAATTCTTCAGGATGTTCACATTTGTGTACGACTATATGGCTATTATATACCAATAACATATTATGGAAACTTTAAGATATTAGACATCTGCCTCTTCATGCCTAATCAAACTGTATGTGTGCTTCATGGTTGATGGGCCACTCATCCATCAAAGAGAAAGAGAAAGATTATCATGTTGAACAGAGAACGGCAGAAGAAATGTGCACACCATCTCCAGCAGTGACTCTTGACTCTGATGTGCCTACATGCCATTTCCATTATTTTATTGTTGGAATTAAGAGCATTAACTCTGCGCGCAGCTCCACTTTAATTTACATAACAAAGGAATAAGGATCCTTGATGAGAATCCAAATCAGTTTGAACGCAGCAGCCAATGAAACTGGAGCTTTTTACGGCTGTTAGCTGGTCACATGGGTGCATGGTATTTACATCTCTGTCTTTGTTAATGGAGGAAACAATCGTGAATTCTGCTCAGTGTGAAGCATTGGAAAAAACAACCACTCAGAGTCAGGTGGGAAATTTCTCAAACTTTCTTTTAGAGAAATGGGCTATTTTCAGATGGCAATTTTTCACTGTTACACTGGGTATAAATTGTCAATCAATTTTTGTCAACTTGGGTATGTCTCCAAACTCCTCAGTCCTCCCTCCTCAAGGCATGATGTTGATATTGGCCAGCTTCTGGTGTGACAGAAATCCTGGTTGCTTGGCAACAGATACGAGTTTAGAGTCCGGTGTGACTGTGACGACCAGGGTGAGAGGACAGCCTGACAAGCCTGTACTTCACGCACACACGCACACACATACACA